TAGTTTCTTGGTTCTGTACCTGGTGCTTTGGTTCTGGTAGTTTCTTGTTTCTGTACCTGGTGCTTTGGTTCTGGTAGTTTCTTGGTTCTGTACCTGGTGCTTTGGCTCTGGTAGTTTATTGGTCCTGTACCTGGTGCTTTGGTTCTGGTAGTTTCTTGGTTCTGTACCTGGTGCTTTGGTTCTGGTAGTTTCTTGGTTCTGGTCTGGTGCTTTGGTTCTGGTAGTTCCTTGGTTCTGGTCTGGTGCTTTGGTTCTGGTAGTTTCTTGCGCAGATGGAGGTCTGGTTCTCTTTGAAGTGTTCCACTGATGGGAACAGGAACTTTATCTAAAACAATTCAATGATCAAAGTCATATGTGCTGTTAAAATGTTTTATTGGAATTAAAAGGATTTTTCTAACTCTCCTGATTAATTTCTCATTTCATCACACACCTTTGACTGAGCTAACGTGAGCTAATGTAGGACACTGAGGATATATGATGAGAATGTACGGACATTTTTCTTGAACTACATCTTATCATCTTTTGTTTTTTGTCCTTTGAACCCCCAGAATGCTTTGCTCTTCTGTTTTCCAACAGACCTGGCTGAGTCTGCCTCCCTCCTTCTACTCATGTCTCTTCTTATCGGGGACTAAGAAGAGATAAGGATGTACCGATGGGAACACAAGATAAAGTTGTTTTTTCCCCCTTTCATTTAGTTAATCATCATAAAGTCAGTTTAAACTCTTCATCAGTTTGGATTTGCCTCTGCTGGTCAAAAGAAAAACTGCATCATTTTAATCAAATGAAAACCAAACTATTTTTTCTCGCTGAAAATCTTCAAACCACAAATTTTTTTTTTTTTTTCCTTTAGTTTTTGAGCTCTTTTCTTTAAATCACTTTCTTTAGCCTTTACTTCCTGCTGGACTGTTGTGTTTTCTACCAGCAGCAGATGAAAACAGGACCACATGGAAGAAGCCTTTGGTAACAGCAGCTAAACGGGTTCCAACCCGTGGAGGTCAGAACCCAACACAGCCCCAAACTCTGATTAGCTCTGGGTAACCGGTTCCACCCCAGAGAACGCTACCAGCTGGGGGCTCTGCCTGCCCTTCTACTGTTACTCTGTCAGAGCCCAGAAGGACACCTGCTGTCTGAGGGGGGGTTTAGGGGGATTCATGTGTTTCTCTGAAGGTTTTCAGAGTCACTGCTCCTTGGTCATTTCATGCTCTGGAGCTAGAGTGAAGGACACCCACTAATATTCCCATCAGACACTCAGGATGTTCCTGATGTGGACCAATGACATGAGCTGCTCCTCCAGACCTGTTTAATGGAGAATAAGAACATGTTCTGTTCTACGTTCCTCACAGTCCTCCTAAACTCCAGAGCAGTTCAGTTTATCTGCATGGTCAGACGTGTTTGTGGACAAAAAGCTGAGGTCTCAGGCTGCTTTTAGTGCTGCAGAGTTTATTATTGTCCTCTTCCAGGATGGAACACACAGGGTTTTTTTTCTCACAGTAACAAAGGCAGTGATTATTCTAAACGGCTGCTTTCATCTGAGCAGAATGAAGGATCCAGTTTGGATCCCTTCAGATGTAAAACAGCCTTATCTGCGTCTGGCTGTGCACTCTGTGTTGTTTCCAGGCTGGACCGGGACGCTGCAGCGTTATGCCCAGAGCACTGATAGGCCGCCTGTCAGCACCTGCTGCCCCCTATTGGAAAGGCTGGAACCTCCTCTAGCAGGTGGAGATGATGCTCTAAAGCTTTTCTTAAAGTGTAGATGCAAAGTAAAGGAGAAGCAAAGCCCTGCAGAGTGCTGTTTCCAGCTCCAGCTAAAGGTCAGACGGCCTCTGGGCTTCAGAACCTGACTGTTCAGCCAGCTGCTGAAAACAGCTGGAATAGATATAGGCCACGTCCATTCTGACCCCAAAACACCACAAAGAGTCACCAGAATCAAGCCGCACAGGAGCGGTGAGGGTTTTGATCTTGTCAACAGAAACAGTTTGAAGTAGCTTTAGATTTAGATTTAGTTTCTGCCAAAGTTCAGTGTGAAGGTGGGGAAAAATAAAATAAAACCTAATTTTCTCAGCAGAGGATCGTCAAGACTGAAGATTGAAGGTGATTTGTTTGTATCACAGCTGGTTTTTGCACTTCTGTGTAACTGTCTCTTCAGGCTTTGTGTCTGTAGGTTCTCAGGGAGACGTCGTAAAGCCACATCCTCATTTGTAATGTCCCAGACCTCCAGTTTGACTGAGCCTGACCTGAGTGACAAAGACTTGAAGGACTCTGGACTGAAGCAGCTTTCTGCCAGACTGAAGAATCCAGAGAGTAAACCCAGGTCAGTTTACTTCAACTACATGTTTCAATGTCATGTCTGTGTTCAGAGATTTGGCAAAAACAAGGACTTTAATTAAAAAGTACTGACTCGCAGGGAGCGGAAGGGCAAGGTGACATTACAAAACACAAATCAATCAGAAAATGAGGATACAAAAGGCTAATAAAGTACTAAATAATAACATGAGGAAAAAGTGGAGGTTTGAGACTTCTTGGGCAAAGTATAAGCACAGATTCCTGGGTCAAACAGTTTTGATGCATTCATGGACCAAAACTATGCATCAAAACTATGTTGATGGCAACTCCTCGTTAGTATGGTGGTGAGTATCATCAAACTTTATCCAACCAATATAAAAGGAAAACCAAATAAATATGTAGAGTACACCTTTACGATTGGTCCGTCCGTGAATTCATCCACACTGCCATGATGTCATCTCCTCGTTAGTATAGTGGTGAGTGTCCCCGCCTGTCACGCAGGAGACTGGGTTTCGATTCCCCGACAGGGAGCTGTTTGTTAATTTACTTCTTTTTTATATAACCTTGGGGTTCAGTGATTAAAAAAACGATCAAACATAATCTTGGGTTAGAAGGTTGAAGATGACCCGGGCCTGTTGCACAATAATGCACATTAATGCATAGAGGAGAAAGCCTTTTAAAAAGCCCGGACCAATAAAAACAACATGCATGTCAGTGCCTTTCACTAAGAAAATCAACAGACTCACAGGTCTAAAATTCCCCTAACATATACAAATTTAACCCAAGGCTAGATTTATTTTTGAAATGACTGTATTAAAAAGTCTGTTTTTACTGAGTTTCACATTCCCATGAGCACCTGGGAATGTGTTCATCTGAAATTAAGATCTGGATGGAAATCACAGCTTTCATTTCCCATCATGCATTGATGGGGGCCTGCACAGTTATTGTAGCCTTCAGAAAAAGGTTTGAAATGAATTGATATGGTCATATCTAGTCAACGTATTCTATTGAGTGGGAGCTGTGTGTTTGCTCCATTAAATACGTTATGATGGCTGCGGTGTGGGTTTAACACATAGAACAGGGCCTCCTTAGTACATCCTCAGATACATCTGATGCTGAAAGTTGGGCAGGTTTAAGAGAATCCTCTGGCTCAGAAGAACCTCTGAGGTCCAGATCAGATCAGAGGGGGGGTTCTTTGGGGTGTCCTCCCTCTGGTGCTGCTGTTGATGTAAAGAGTTCCACTTTGAGCTCTGTAACCTCTCTGCTCTGTGTTATTTCCTCTCTGCAGGGCAGAAAATCAACAGCTGAAGCTGGACAGAAGGCCTGGATGACCTGTGGAGCTGGAGAGGAGAGAACCATCCCAGCTTTAGAGCGCTCAGACCTGATCTGAGGCGAGATGTTGTTTTTTTGGACAGAGATGGTCACTTTGAGTCAGACCTTTAGGAACCGGGTGGATCTGCAGGACAGACAGATGAAGGATGGAGACGTGTCTCTGACTCTGAAGGATGTGACTGTAAATGATACAGGAACATATCAGTGTAGAGTCAGTGAGACATAAGAAAGAAACAACAACAAGAACAAGAAACCACCTTCACCATCTATCTGGACGTTTTTATCACAGACTGAAACATCCTGAGTGTTTTTATCACAGACTG